CACTAATCAGAAGAAGCCATGACGTACCGTTTAATGTCTTTTCTTGACTGAAAGCACTGGAAGACTGCTGTGTGGGGTGGGCTTTTCTTTTTTACATAAAACAAAGCTGGTTTTGTAACAGTGGAGCTTTTATAGCCCTGTAGCACGTGTACACGTTTGACATCCTCCACGTGTCCTCTGTTTTCGGCTGATTAACTGAACAAAAAAGGGGGGAAACAATCCTGTTGCCGAACTCACTCAGCTTTATAACCATCTTCCATAACTTTAAACATACATAAGAGCTGGACTTTGCCCCAGCAGTCGTGTTTAGTAACAAGTTTTTATCGCAGATTCGTATCAGCAGCAGGTGAGACCAGGGAATGAAGAGCCAAAGGATTATATCAGCTTTAAGCAACTTAACCCTCACAGTTATGAAATGTTGGGTAGCTGCCAGCTGGAGATCTATGTATCCCAATTCTAAAACTTCTACGGGTAAATGAGAAGAGCCAGTGATATGTTTGCTAATGACTGACAGGCAAAATAAATCAGCTAGGATTATATAGAGCTGGAGTGCACATGAAAACAGAAGGTCATGTATGATCACGCACATACACAGATGGCCACACACACCCCACATCAGAGCAAGACTTTACTAGAAACACATGTAAAATGCTGCACTGAGTTAAAAGTTTATGATCACCTGTTTGGTCAATTTTCGTTTCTTTCAGCTGTTTTGTTTCTTATTTGAATCACGTGATCCAACAAAAGATGTCTGTGATATATAAAGTTCTGGTCTTTAGGGCATATTTTTATACATCTGTGGAGCATTTAAAGATAGTGGAAGTAGGTTAACTGCACTTTTTTCATACATTTCCATCTGGAAATTAATATCCAACATTGTTTTTTGGAGGATTCTTAAGGGGAAAAAAACAGACGAGACTGAGACTGAGCTTACTAAAAAGCACCACTGAACGACACAGGAAATCATTTCCGTTAGGGATCAATAAAGTATTCTGATTCTGATGATGTTAACATTTCAATAAGTATGTAATGTCGTATTTAAAGGCAGTTTGTTGTGGGGTTTTTTACAGTTTTTACAAAACAGCTTGTATCGATTCAAAACCTGCGATAATGTTCAGATTTATGTGCTGGATTTGTATTCAGATAAGCTTATATTTAGAAATGTAGGCTTTATAATGCATTTTTAAATGTATGCAAAAGTATTTAAATGTACATTTTTAAGAACTTGTATTAGGAAATTGAATTGTCTTGACATACAACACTGTGCAATCATCTTGAGTGACTCATTTCTTAATATTTCGCTTCCAAGGAGCCAGATTTTGCTGTATTTTATCAACTTAATATATATTCATATGTCTGCTCTGTCACACATACACTCCTCTCTGCTAATCAGATGGCATCTAAAAATCTTGGCTTTATGTTTAAATTAATATTTGGGTCATTCTTCTGTAAAACTCAGGCTGGAGGCTGTAGAGGAGCTTTTCTGTATCATGTTCTAAACAGCACAAGTTTTGATGCATGCAGTGACATTGACACGTAGTGAGCCACACAAATAGCATGTTGAATCTTTCACACACCGTGCAGCGTGTTTGTCGCCTCACCAGACCACAATGATGTGTGCAAAGTTACATTTTATCACACAAACTGTAATTTGCATAAATTCCTATGTGAGGCATTTAGTTCTAATCAGTAAGAGCACTGTCTCTAAGCATGTTTAAGAGGAGTGAGCTACAGCTTTCTCAGCACCACTGAGCAAACTCCCTGCTCCAAGTGGCAAAAATGAAAGTGAAACATTCAAAAGTGTAGATACGCTTCCCTCTTGTCAACTGACAAAATTCATTGTACCAAAAAGATTCCTGATATCCAGGCGTATGAGATGTCATCACTCAGTGCACACATCAAGTCGGCTGTGACAGCAATTCATGTGTTTTTTAAAAAATCCCCATTGTTGTGCACACAGGGTGGGGTGATCTCTGAAGACATGATTCAAATGATTTTCTCCAGCTCTCCTGAGCAGCAGCTAATAGGTACTCAGCGCTTTAGGAAACTACTTTCTAAAGGTAAGTTTTTCTTTGGACATTTGCTGCTCTTTCATTCATTTTTCAGTCCAGTTCTTGTACCTGAACATTTTCAAAGGACTCTTTTGTTTTTTATTAAGCCACTTAACTCTGACCTATGAATCATTTACGCATGTTTTGAAAGTACGAAACACAAGGGCTGAACCAGTGTTGTGTCCACACATAACAGCAAAACCCTAGAAGAATGACCGCCTATTCTTCAAAGAAAACTCAAGAATGAAGGTGGTCATACTAAATTATAACTTTGACGCTCATTAGAATTGTACAAACTCTGTTTTGACCTTGTATACTGTATTTCCCCAGCCCCTCTATTTTGAAACTAAAACTATTGAACCTTAATTCAATTTCTCACTTCACATAATCGTTTCACTTTTGCCTTGAAGTGTTATTTTTAATTTAATTATTTTTTATGACGCATGTTCTCTGGTGAGTTCAGGTACATCTGTAACTTCAAGTGGAAGAGTTGCATGTGAGTTAAAATTTTCTATAATACCAACAACAAAAAAAAGACAAAATACTGATGTTTTTGTCGAATAATCTGTTTGACATGAGGGATAATATAGAATTTGCATTTTAACTAAAAGACTCGCGCACTGACACTATGGGCACATTTTTAGAAATCTTTTTAATTCCACAGAAAGGTTAGCCACTTTAGAGTTTCACTTGTGACCTATGAAGTACCCCCGAAATTGTATCATATTAAACAACAACAACAATAACAACAACAATAAACACTCGAGGACTTTAAAGAGTTAAAATTTTTTCCAAAGCTTGAGAGCGCTCACCCCGGCTCGGGGCTCCACAGATGTGGTGGATGAGGGCTCCTTGCTGCAGACTGCAGCGGAGTGTTTGACAGTCAAACTTGAAACAGTCTTTGGAACTGAAACGGTCTCTGCCAACACGAACACATACCCCAAACAGTTCGGTAAATATGTACAGTTTCTCAAAGCTTCAGTTTTCAGCAGCTACCAGAACTTGACTCCCGTCTGCATCCTCCCAGCCGCCTCCCACTTCATCTGCGGGCAGTACCTGCGTGTGTGAGCGCTGTCACCGGTGGCTTCGCAGATCGGGCAAGTGTAGTTCCGGAGGATGGGGCAGAAAACTTTCCCGTCGTCTGATTTGAGCTTGTGAGATCGGTACACCCTCGGAGTCTCCCCGTTCTGCTTGCAGAAGCGGCAGTAGTCCGAGGATGACGCGCTGCTGCTGGTGTCCGACGCGCTGCTGGTCGGACTGGACTGCGATGAGTTTTTGGAGGATTTCTTCCCCCGAGTGGAAGTGTGGACCTTACTCCAGGGGGGCGCTTGTCCCTTCTTTGGACGCTCGGTGTCTCGGTTATCAACCTCACGGTTGCTGCACAGTTTCTCGAACACTTGGCTCAGATTCATGTAGTCGTGCCACATGTTAAAGCTGTCCCCACCAGTGAGGATCGAGCTCTGGACCTCCAGTCGTCTCGGCATTGTGGTCATTTTTTGGCAGAAGTAAAACTGAGGGTGTGTTTGGAGCGCCTCATATTTATAGCTCACTGAAGATGGTTTTAAAATGCAACAATGTTTGGATCCTATAGATTGCATGCAGCCTGGCGACGTTTTTTGGAGGCAGAGAGAGAGAAAAAAAGAACTTTGGTGCAGGTGCAGTCTTTTATGTAGCTTTCTGGTGACCTTATAAGAACCTTTACGAAGCCCGTTGACAGGCCTTTAATCGAATGATCGGTTGGTTGATTGATAACAGAAAAAAAAAGACACATAAGATGGACATAAAGGACTGAAAACACCAAGAGCAAAATATTGCATCGCACTCATTTATGTAGTTTATGTTTAGATTAGATAATTTCGCAAAATAACGCAGCAAAATAAATAATAAGAGCCGGGATGTGGAGACTATGTAGCACTGAAAAAACTCCGTCCATGTGAACAGAATCAGGGGTTACCTTACCTGTTGATTAAATATCAAGACTATTTAGCAATAAGCTTACTTTAAAGGCTCGTAATAGGTGAACTGTCTTGGTATAGTTGGGTCACGCAGAGTTCATGCATTTTTTTTCTATCGTAGTGCGTTGGCCTTTATCCTCTCATCCCCTCTCGATCTCTGTCTCTCTCTCTCTCTCTCTCTCTCTCTC